GGTAGTCATGTTTGAAAGGTGGGTTTGTTTGTTTGTTTTTTAAGCTCAGAATTCATCCCTAGTGTGTATTCTTCAAGTGATACCATGCCTATTCATCCCCAGGGCTGAAATTCCTCCTTTTGTCTGTACATGCATAAGGCATGTTTTCTCCAGAGAGAGAACTTTTACCTTCATACAATGACCATTTTTTAGATACAGCAGTGCATGTATTTTATCACTGCAACTACCATCTTGACAGCAGGAAGAGGGAAATATATCTGAAAATTGAAGGCCCTTTTTCTTCTGTAATATGTACATTTTTTACAGTTGTGACTGATTGAGGCAATCCTCTCTAGTTGAGATAAACAATTATTTAAAATAAGATAACAATTTATCAGTATTATCTACCTAAGTGCAGTCAGCCTTCTTAGCAGGAGCACTGTAACTGTTAATAGAAGGTGTTCTGGTTTCAGCTGGAGTAGAGTTTATTTTCTTCCTAGCAGCTGCATGATGTTTTGTTTTGGATCTAGGATGAGAATGAAGTCGATAACACTCTGATGTTTTAGTTGTTGCTGGGCAGTGCTTACACTAAGTCAAGGACTTGTTGGTTCTCACACTGCCCTGCCAGAAAAAGCTGCAGGGGCACAAGGAGCTGGGAGGGACGCAGCCAGGACAGCTGACCAAAGGGATGTCCTGTACCGTGTGGCATGGTGATGAACGATAAAACTGAGGGTGTTGGCTGCGGGTCTGCTCTGCTCAGGGACTGGCTGGGCACCAGTCACTGGTGGTGAGCAACTACATTGTGCGCCGCTTCTTTTGAATATCTTTGAACACTGTTACTACATTTTAGTAATATGAGAATATATTACTGCATTTTCCCTTCCTTTTCTGTCCTATCAATCTGTCTTTAGGTAAAACTCATGAGTTTTACCTTTTCTCCCATCCCACGGCTGGGCAGTGAGTGAAAGGGCCTGATGGTGCTGAGCTGCCTGCTGGGTTAAACTGCAACAGAGGAGAACTCTTTTAAACAAACAAGGAAAGGAAAAAAATAAACGGGAAGCTGGTGGAAGGGTGAGGCCATTTTGTATGCAGCCAAGTAGCTTTGGTCTGGCTCTGAGTGGCTCCATCTGTAATTTTCTAGCCTGTTTCTGAATTTCGTCTTTTATGTCTCTGATTATTAAGGCACCTCACAATGTTAAATTGGAAAGTGATGGCAGTGATTTTGTTAAGTGTGTGCTTCAGGATTTTGTTTTTATCGGGGTGCAGAAGTGTTTCTGCTGTACTTGTCCCCCCAGAATACATTATTCTTTCAATTAGCACATGCAGTAAAGAAACAGCAACACTGGTAAGCTCACAGAGCCACTAAGCCAAGTAGGTTGCATTAGTATCTGCATCTCTTTTTGTGCTGTTTGACACCAGATGATTTTCTTGACAAAATAGCAATAGGACACTGAGAGGAAAGCTGATGTTAACTTTACAGGATTAAGAGGGACAAAAGTGGAGTAGCTCTTGCTGATACTAACTGAAGGCAAACAGTACTGTCTGTCCACAGTGCCACATTGTTGCCAGAGCTTTGGAGCTCAGAGGAACACATCTCTGACTACAGAGAGTTAGATATAAGCAACAGAAAAGCCATCCTTGCTGTGTTGGGAGTCTTTTTTTATACTTCTTTATACTTGCCTCTTGGCACTTTTTGCAGCCTCAAACAAGATGTCTGTGCTTCTGAAAGGAGACGTCAAGTATTTGCACTGCCTTAAAGTGAGCCTGAGCCATGCTTCTGATATAGTTGATGCAGTCTTCGCCCTTAATCAATGCTTATTTGTCTACAGCGTCACACAGGAGTAATTACCAGGACATTAGAGGGTAGTAGTAACTTTCTGTAAGGGCCTACCCACTGAAAAAGGAGGAGTGTAAAGTCTTAAATGAATTTAAATAAATGATTCTGACCCTGTTTCCTGTTGTCTATTACCATTGCTAACTCATGGTAGACATGGCCAACATTATGTGGAATGTACATCTCTAAGCAACCTTGCACAGATTCACTTGTGCCAAATCTCAGTACACAGTTACCCAGGATTCATCTTCTGTGATCTCTGTATGGGCTTTGTCTACCAGAGCCCTTTGAGAACTATTCTCTAGTTTGAAATACCAGAAAGAAATTCAAGAGCAAGTTAGTAAGGATATCGTCCTATTAATGATTGCTCTATTTTTTTTTTTTTTTTTTTTTTCCTGTGGCAAAATATATTTCCAGGACTTTTTATATGAGATTTCAGGATGAGAATCCTGGTATAATGATTTACTGTGAAGTTCCTATCTTGTCTGTGAAACTGGGAGGGGGACCGGGGAAATGTTAAAATTATTCTATTTCCTGGTAACAAAAAGAGCCAGGATTGTTGTGTTGTTTTGGTTTTGTTTACTCTGTTAATTCGTTCTTCCCAAATGGTTCTCCTGGACTAGTCCCATTGAGTACCCATAAGATGCTGCTGCCAAGATGACTTTGTGGTAAATTGCTGGCTTGGGTTCAGGGTGAGGTTGGTAAAAGACTGAACTGTGAGTGTCATACATCCACTGTGGTATAAATTGACTTTCTTGATGATCAAATAAGAAAGAAAAGACCATTTTGTATTATATTTATATAATATGTGTATATTAAGGAAACAGCAAGTATCTATTCTTTTTATCTCAAGTCTTTGAGATTTTTGCATTATCGTCATGAACGCTGTATAAACCAGGGGCAAATTCCATTGAATAATTTGGAAAATTATCATGAGTGGTTTGGTTTTATTTTTCTGCTTTTCTCCACTATTACCAATCAGTAATATTTGAAGTCTGCCCAAAATCTGCTTATTTTTCAGCCAGAACATCTGTTCCTTCAGAATAGCACGTTCAGTTGCATTGTCATGACCATTAAATCTTTTGTTTATCCCAGCAAAAAACATATAGCAGGATTTTACTTGATTGATCTGTTTTACTGGAATAAAAAAATAAATTGCAGAATTTTTTTTGAATGCTGAAGTATCGTTTCATTACTCTGTCACTCCAGCTACATTTTAATACATATGGAAAAAATATGTATAATGTTAGATACATCAGTGTCTTGGGATTTTGTGGTAATAGTGAAGTGGTAAAGTAATCTTTAAGTGCAATGATTACCAACGACTTCAAGTCTTTTTGCTTGGGATTAAGCTTTACCTAATGATCTGGAAGTAAAATACGAATTCTCGCAAATGAATGTCAAACTTTTAAAAACATTGGTAAGTGCTTTAAAAAAAAACTTATAAAATTATGGAATGCTATTACTTAACACATATGTGCTTCTCATTTTGTAGTGTTCTCATTGTCTGCTTTTTTTGTTGTTGCTGTTGTTTGCTTGTTTCCAAACCCAGGCTTCGATTTTAATCTGAGCGAAGAAGATGTGGAATTGTTGAGCATCATGAATATCAACAGAAAATAAATGGATAAATGGATTGTGGAAAGCATAGCTTAAAAACGGATTGTTTCAAACTTCAGAAGTGGTGAACTTAAACTTTAATTCATTTTAAACTGGAGGATAAGTTGTTGGATACTCAAAGTATCTAGTCAACACCAATTAACAATCAAAATTGGTAATACTAACTTGTGTTTACTATCATGTTGACCATCTAATGAAATCATTTTGTATTCTGTTTTTGTTGCTTCTTGCAAATACAAATATGCTTACTTAAAGTGCTTTGTCTGTTTTCTCAGAGCTGTCTGGCATGTTCTTCCAGTGTGGGTTAAGCTATATCAAAATATTATAATTAAGTTGCTTTACCTGCATGTACATAATTTAAGGTGCTATTTTAACCCTAGAGCAAGTTAGTTGTGCTTTGTTCTCTGGCAGATTTTGTGAAGCATTAGTTACTTCAAGATGCAGATGGGAGCAGGCTACAATGTGCAGAACGTGTGTAACTGTTTGGGTGACTAACAGAAATTGGAGCGAGTAGGTGCTTTTGTCCCTGTGACAATTAGTACTTGTCATTTCTACCTGCACTTTATGTGAGTACTGTCACCGGTGCTTTGTCTCCTAGTTCTGAGAAGTTACCTGGCTTTGAGATGAAACTTACAGAGCTGAAAGTAGCATATAGATATCCTAATTCAGAAGATTGTCTGCACTGCTTTAGAAACAGTTGTGTAATGTTATGTTTGAGGTGATTCTGACCACGCTTGCTTCACGGTATCAGAGATGGTACAAAGATGGCCTTGCTTTCATACTCTGTACTAGATTTATGCCACATTATCTTCATTCAGATTAATAATTCAGTTATGATATTTCTGTAGGAGTCATAATCTCAGCGTGCAGGTGATAGGCCATGTAGTAAGAATAGCATTCTCTTCTCAGCTGTATGATGTAAACATTTACAAATGTATCCAAAATAGAGTGTGTTTGTTCCAGCTGTGCATCAAAACTCTGGATCTGTTGTAATGCCTTACTTCTTACATTGTTTCTTCAATTTCCTCTAGTCAGGGGAACTTGGGGGATTCTGCTGCCCACTCTTTGTGCTTCCTTAGTGAGCAAAACTATTCCATTCTGAGGATCTCCATTCTTGACCTGGCACACCATAGAGGAATGCCTCTGTTTTGTGGTCTAAGCTATGTCAGGGTGAATAAAAGGACTTTCTGCATGGATAGATTAAGATTTTTGAAAGTGCATAAGGGTGTTGTGTTGGGGAAAAATGCTTTTGAAATCTGTCTTGTGGGGATTTCTTGTCTCTTTTCAGGATGGGTGATGGTCACACACTCATCTGTTGCCCTTGTGAGTCGTCCTGTGGTGCCAGCACTGTGAGAGTGCTATCTTCTGCTGGTATCAGAGGCTGCTGACACAGGCTTTGGGAATAGCCATACTGCATTTTTCTGCAAGACAGCATTGTTTCCTTTTCCTCAATTAACAGTTACCAGGATTAATGCTGGAGATTATTTCATTGATAAGTTTTTTCTTATTTTCTGGCTCTTTACTTTGTATTTCTTTTTAAATGATCTCTTCATAAAGTACTCTGAAATTCCCAGTGTTGTTCCCCATGCCGGTGGGATGAGTACATGCTGACAGCCGTCAGCACAGTCTGCAAATTGTGTAATTTGTGAAGGATCATATCAGTACCTTTTCTTGGGACTGATTAGTCTGTCAGATGTGCACGCACAGCTTTGTTGGGTTTCATTGTCATAAAATGATCAGTTTGACTTGCATCAGATTGTTGTGTGATTTGGGTTAAGACACTGAAACTAAATGTATGGAGATTCCTCGGGGTTATCCTATCACCACTGCCCTGTGAAATAGCCAGGATTCTGGAGTGCCCACCGCACTGAGTTCCTGTAGTTTCACAAGAACACTGCTTATCACAGGCAGCCAGTGGGTATGTAAAACAAGACTTTTTGTTCATCAAAGAAACTGAAGTATAATAGAGTATGTATTCATTATGTTGTCCCATCTCCTTTTCTCTGACTGTAGACATTCTCAGTTTTCAAAGGCGTTATATACCCTGGATTTCTTCTATATATTTTGTGGAAGTGCAAGTTTCCTTCACGTTGGATCTGGCAGATGGAAGTTATTGAGACAAGAATTCTTGCTCTGTTGATTGGGATGAAGTTTAATCCTGGCATAAATCTCCTCAATGAACATCTATCAGTGTGCTTTTGTTAGAGTTGGTTGGAACAGCTGGAATTTACTTGTTTGTGTGATTCAGTCCATGCAAGGAGGCTAAAATCTGTGCAGCTGAACCTCATGAATCTGCATGAATTGAGGTTTTACACGGCCCTCAGAGCAAAATCAGCTGCTTTGACTGCTTTTGCAGAGAAAGTGCTATTTCAGCATCCTTACTGCTACGTGTCAACATGGCTACAGATGTGTGTGATCATCTAATTTTAACAGTGCTTTTTGTAATACAGATGCTCAGCTGTTAGGAGTCAAACTGAAATTGCCGAGCCATTTCACACAACCTCTGACAAATAATTTGTTGGACATCACTTCTTTGGGCTGCAGCCTTCTCAGCTGCTTTACCAATAACTCAAACATGAAAGCTTGTACATCTGGCTGTTGAAACCCTGAGTCACTCTGTCCTTTAATTAAAGCGTGTTCCTTTATTATGTCCCTCTTGCTTAAAATTATGAGAGAAAAATTTCATAGAGGAGAGTGCCTAACAAATGTGCTTTTATTTAATATTTTCTATAGATTAGCTAAGTAAAGGGGAAAGCTTTGCAGTATCTAGGGTATGTCAGGCAGTTGCAGGGGATGCATATGTCAACCTCGAGCATGATTTATCTTGCATGCCTTTTCTGACAGTTGTAATTTAACGGCTGTACTTTTTCCTCCAGGCTCTCAGGAGGCTGAACATCTTTTCAAGTTTCTAGCTTGGTGGTGGAGAGTCGACGTCTGTTTGCCAGTGTAATTTATTGAGTCATTCTGGGAGAGGCGTGGAGCAACTGAAGCATGAGGATTCACATAAATGTGAGAAGAGGGGGACTCTTCCCAGGGCAGCACTGCCCTTGTCTCTTTCAGAGGAGAGCTGCTGCCCTGTAATGACTGCTGCTACTCACTGAGATGTGTGGGGCTGTGGACTAAGAGACTGATACGGTGTGCTCTGATCCATCGTGCTATTATTTTGCATTTCAATTTGGAGTTAAAAAGAACAAAGTAAGAAAGGAGGAGGAAAATTTCTGCACTAAAAGCAATTCAAGGTAACCAAGAATCACGTACACTGAGGTGGGTGCTTTTGGAGGAGTTAAAAAACTCATTTCTTTCTCAGTCTTTATATAATGGCACTGCTACTGTTGTTTAAAAAAAAAAAAAAATTGAAACTTATTTCTCTTTACAAAACCCTTTTGAATTCTCTGAACATTCAGAGATGTTTTGTGTTTTTTGTTTTTTGTTTTTTTTTTTTGTTTGTTTTTTTATGTTGAAAACCCAATAAATAGTGGTGTTCAAGGTGGCAAGGGGCATAGAATGATCCCTCACCCAGGGGCGAGTGCTGGCATCAGTCGGTGCAGAGCCCCGTTCTGTGTGGCTGTGCCGCTGCAGCCAGGTTCCCCAGGGCGCAAAGGGCGCCGGTGCCACCTCACGCTTGCCGGGCCCTGGTGTCCCCATTTTAGCCCCGAACTCGGCCAAGTGGGAAGACTGAGAAAGCACCATCCGCGCTTTCCTTAGATGTTGTTCAAGCGTCCGCCAGGCGCCGGGCCGGGGCACGAGGCGCGTCCTCTGGGCCGCCGCTCCGTGCTGAGCCACTCCGGCTGCGGAGCGGGGCAGACGGCAGCATGGGGCAGGGCGGGAGCGGGACCGCGACGCCGCCTCCCCGGGCAGCTAGGGCAGACGTCCCGCGGGACGGAACGGGCTGGGACTGAGCGGCGGGTCCGCCGGTCCCGCCTCCTTTGGGCCCGCCTCGTCGGCCCCTCTCTCGCCCACAGCCGCGGGCTCTATAAAGGCGTGCAGGTCCCGCGGGCGGAGAGCTCGTACGCGGGGAGGGGTTAAAGAAGAAGGGTGGGGAGCCTCCGCCGCAGGAACATTAAAACTGCCGAGCCCCGGCCGGCCGCTGGAGTCGCTGGACGGCACTCACGATGCGGAGGCTGCATGCGGGCGGCGCGGCGCGGCTGAGCGAGGTACGGCCCGGGGCGGCGGAGCGGGAAGGGGGGCTTCGGGCGGCCGCGCTGCGGGGCTGCGGCGAGCGGCAGCCGGGAGCGGGGCGGCAGCCGAGCGCGGAGCTGTGCCGCCGGACTCGCCCCTCCGGCTTTGCGCCTCATAGGCTGTAATTTGATGGCTCTGAACGCTCTTCTCTTGCCTGATTTCGCACCTTAAATTCCTTTTAAATGTCTACTAGAAAGTGCCCGTACGTAAAAGGAGTGCCCTCTACATCTGCATTCCTTAATCGTATTCGTTTTCAAAGCGTACGATGCTAACTATTTGCAACACAAAGTTCTTTTTTTCCTTTCCTTTGTGTCAGACCCACAGAACAGGTTGCTGTGCGGGCTATTTACTTGTTTCAACTTCTCCCAGCTCCCTAACGCATGCCCCTACTGCTCGGCCGGGGCACCTCTCCTGTTTACAGCTCTGGATGCTCTCTTGCACATGGCTGAATTACCTTCAGCACAGTAAATTGCTTCCCGGCCCCTCCCGAAACGTGTTCAGACTTTCAGAACAGAGGCGAATCGAGCTCTCCTGTCGAGTAATTTCTTTGCAGGCTTCTGTGCGTCTGCAGTTAAAGCAAGTCAAGCCCATTTCCCTTTCTAAATCTCTGTTGTGTGTGCGCTGTTTCCTGCTGAAGAGTAAGTTAGGCTGGACCCTGCTGCTGAACAGCTTTCAGGTCTTTCACGCTGGAATAAGTCCAGCAGTGCGGTCTCTGCTGACTCCAGCTTTACCTGCGCAGGTAAAGTTGTCTTACTGGCTTTAGCTATTTAGTATGCCTAACTATCTTTTAAGCATATCACAACAGATGAATAAAACTGCCTTTTCTGTGATTGCACTTGTGATTCTGACAAACAATCAAATCAGCAGATCATCTTGGAACTTTTCTAGTTTGTTACCTGCTTTTTTGCCACCCCCTAACACGGGCTTTGCCTCTTGTTCTCAGGACTGCTGCTTGTGAGCGTGTGCAGGAGCGCTGGGAGCTGCGGGGCCACCACGGGTTTGTGCTGCGTGTCTGTTGGCACCATGAGCTCCGGCACCACTGCCCCAGTGAGGGTGGTCAGCAGCCTCGCCAACACCGATGTCAACTATGTCATCAAAGAGCACTATAATTACACGGGAAAGCTAAATGAGAATGCGGACAGTGGAATAAAAGTGACGTCGGTGGTTTTTATCATCATTTGCTGCTTTATAATCTTAGAGAACATTTTTGTCTTGCTCACCATCTGGAAAACCAAGAAATTTCACAGACCGATGTACTATTTCATTGGGAACCTGGCTCTTTCAGACTTGCTGGCTGGCGTGGCTTACACCGCCAACCTCCTGCTCTCCGGACACAAAACTTACAGCCTCACTCCTTCCCAGTGGTTCGTAAGGGAGGGCAGCATGTTTGTCGCCTTGTCAGCTTCTGTGTTCAGCTTGTTGGCCATCGCCATTGAGAGATACATCACCATGCTGAAAATGAAGCTCCACAACGGCAGCAACAGCTTCCGTTCTTTCCTTCTGATCAGTGCCTGCTGGGTTATCTCTGTGATACTCGGAGGACTCCCGATCATGGGCTGGAACTGCATCAGCCTCTTGTCAAACTGCTCCACAGTGCTGCCGCTCTACCACAAGCACTATATTCTCTTTTGCACCACAGTTTTCACAGGCCTGTTGCTATCTATTGTTGTCCTCTATTGCAGGATCTACTCTATGGTGAGGACTAGGAGCCGTAGGCTGACATTTCGAAAAAACATTACCAAAGCTACCAGGAGCTCAGAAAAGTCACTAGCCTTGCTCAAGACAGTGATCATAGTCCTGAGTGCCTTCATTGCTTGCTGGGCTCCCTTGTTCATCCTGCTTTTACTGGATGTGGGCTGTAGAGTGAAGACTTGCCCGATCCTGTATAAAGCAGAGTATTTCTTAGTGCTGGCTGTGCTCAATTCAGCCACGAACCCTATCATCTACACCTTAACTAACAAAGAAATGCGAAGGGCTTTCATCAAGATCCTGTGCTGCTGCAAATGTCCCCCCACAGACTCGGGGACTAAATTCAAGAGGCCAATCATCGGAGGGATGGAGTTCAGTCGGAGTAAGTCTGACAATTCCTCCCACCCACAGAAGGAGGAAGGCGACCGTCCTGAAACCATCATGTCTTCAGGCAACGTTACCTCATCTTCTTAAGGAGTGACCGTGGAGGTGTTTAGAGCCTTCCTCTGAAACTGGGAGCCGAGGCACCTCCTGCTCGCTGCAGCAGTGCTGGGCTGAGGAGCGAGTAGCATTAGTTCTAACAAGGCCAATGGTGCACTTGCGAGGCTGGAGTTCAAGAAATGGGACACGCTGTTCTGGCTTGAAAATCCATTTCCCCGGAGCATGTTTTGTCTTTGCACTGGGGCAGCTCAGGATTGTCAGGCGCATTCATATCCTGAGATCTCCTTAGTAACTCTGAAAGACTGATGCCTTGGGGAAGTGATGCCTGGTGTGTGCAAGAGAATGAGAGTCGGGGAAGAGGCAAAGGGAGAATGAATCTTTTTTTTTTTCTTTTTTTTTGCCCTGTGAGAAGAATGTGAAGTTATTTTTCCTTTACTTGCAGCAAACCACTGACACAAAGCTCTTTCTGTACTGGGTTTAGTGATGGCTCGTATAGTTGGTCAGAAGTGTTTGTTTAACACATAACAAGGAAAGAGATCATGCAGGTATAATTTATACCACGGGCAGCCATAATTTGACATCACCTTCCAGAGCTTTTAGTTAAATAGTAAGGTTTTATTTGCAGAGTCCAAAGCTGTTGGAGTTTTATTTAGCAAGATCATAGCTGTGAATTTTTGTTGGTGGTCCATATTACATTTGAAGACCAAGAGCAGGCTCTGTAATTACACTCACTTAAACAGTTCCATGACTGTATCAGATTTCATGGAATCACTCAGAGCAGCATTTGGCCCCATGCGTTGTTTGCCATGTTGTTATATAGCATTAAATAAACTGCATTATTGTGACAAAATGCGAGGTGGAACTGAAAGTCACCTCTCATAAAGATGACAGAGAGTAAATCTACTAGAATAAAATACTGTTGACAGCAGCAGGATTTTTACTGAGGTAAAAAGAGCTAAAAACTGAAGGCAAAGGTTAGTGTCAGGTGACAAAGGCAAAAAGTAAAGATTGGTTTCATCGCCTGAAAAGAAAGCCTTGAGTTTCAGAAACGTAAGATTTCAAGTGAAATGACTATAGATAAATGCACTTCCATAACAAAATGCAACACATTTTGGCACATTTTATTAATGTTCATAATTGCAGGAAATCTGTCGGTATTCTATCACTTCGTGGCTTCATGGGAGAAGTGCCTGTCATTAAAATGAATGTATTTGTTTTACAGTATCGTTTTGACTTCTCTGGTTTTCTAACCTGTGCTAATGGGGTTGAATGTGTACAATGTAAATAAGTTAATGAGATACAGGAGTCTTCGCACCTAGAGTATTACTATAACAAAAGTGGTATATCTGGGATAGCTGAGAGCAACTGACTGATTTACAGTTACGGACAGCTCCTAGAAGTGGTATTTTGTAAAAAAAATAAAATAAAATAAAAATTATTGCTTTTGTAGTAAAATTTCCAGTGCAATTAAATTGTTGTTTTTTTTTTTTTCCTGGTTTAAAAAATAGTATTTAATATGTTTCTGACTTCTGTTGTTCAATTTGCACATAGCTTTATTGACTTCTAAACATTAATAAACTGATTTTTGTAAAGATTCTGTTATCACAGTACTGGTACTTTGGTACTGCTGTGGGGATTTGGCACTGGGTGTGGTAATGTTGATGGAAGTTGTTGACAGAACTCATGGAAATGACTCCTTGATTTCAGTACCATCTGGATTAAGCTATTTTTGTGGATGTCTTTCTGGTTGGTGGAGACCTAAGATGCATGCTGCCACTGGCAAGGTCATGTAAGATACAAAATGAATTCTATACTGTGATCTTTGATGGGTGTGCACTGTATCAATGAAATGCCATTAGAAGAATCCTTACAGTAGCATGCCTACGAATGTGTTTTGGTTTTTTTTCCCAACTGCTAGTGGAATACAAGTAGAAAAAAAAAAAATAGGTGCCTGCCAATGTTGCCATGACCACCTGGAGCAGAATAAGTGAAATTATTAGCTTAAATCACTTATACAATTCATAACCTTAATTCTTAGCTTATTGCAATATCAGGAAATACATAAGAAGCAGACCAATTGGAGCTCCACCTGGTGCAGCAGTGCACACTGCGACCGTCTGCTTGAATACATGATGCATGACTTCTTCCCAAGGCCTGACTTCCATTTCCTCTCTTGCTGCCATTCCCGCTCAGTCTTGCTTTTAAGTTTCACGGCACTTGTACAGGATGCAGTTGGAGTGCGAAGATAAAGCTCACCTTCTCATAGTGTATGTCATCACTGTGCAAGCTTTACTGTGGGAAACTGCAGCCTGCTCAGTAAGGAAGGCTTTGGGTCGCAACCTCACTTCCTGAAGGAAATTCCAAAAATGCCCTGAAGACAAAAGAGTGGAAACAGGCTGGAGTTTCTCTCCATCTGTCTGCTTGTACGGAAGGAATGATTTCATGTGTGCTCACTTCCTAGGCTTTTCATTAGTGACCTGAACAGAGCTGGAAAAAAATGTCAAATCTGTATTAGTGCACCAGATAAAGTCTTTCTTGTGCTAGGCCTGTGCTTGGGCAGTGACAGCTTACGCAGGGTGCTGACAGTTATGGGGAAAAGCACTGCCTGATCTCAGGGATAAAGCTGCATCTACACAGAGCACCAGAAGTATAAAAATCAAAGAAGTCCAAGTAAAGCCCTCAGCATGCTACCAGTAAGTAAAGGCACTGTGTGGGGATGTGGCTTCTGGTTTTTATTTGAACTCTCGTCTGGCTTGGTAAGAAGGTTTTTCTCCAACTGGGGCTCTTCTGCCTTAAGGGCATCCAGGTTACTTTTCCCCCTCCGGGTTGACACCCTGTGGCGAGGGATGAGCAATGCTGCAGCACCGCTGTGTCACAGGCCATTGTGACTCCCACCACCATCCTCTGTGCGCTGGTAGCTGATAGCCCACAGGTGAGTCACTTCCATTCTCTTTTCCTTTGTTTTTGTGTCCTCTTATCTGTTGTGTCTAATAACACTGCAGGCCTTTGGGGGGAAATGACAGACATCCCACGAAAGCGGCTGCGTGATGGTAGCCCTGTTTTGCTAGGGAGCTCAGAGTCTTACGTAATTCATGCAATAAAAGAAACACAAACGGCAGTGCATGGCACTGAGCCATGGGAAGCGTTTCCTACACTCCTGATCAAGATGACTGAAATCCATTTCCTTCATAGTCAGGCCACGTCTATGCATGTAGAAAAAAACTCACGCAGAGAACAGTAACTGTAATTAAATCACAATAAGAGTTCGGGGAAAGAAAGGCCATTTGTAGCTCTTGACGCTTCTTATCGGAGAAGGCTCCCTAGCTACAGACACCTATCACGACAAATCAGCAGGCTAGGCCAGTTGTGCTGTGATCAGTTCTGAAATGTTCAATGCAGAAAGCACTGTTCCGGGCCCCAGAGTGCCTTGAGCAGGCACTGAAAGGGCAGTCAGCTTTGTCCTTTTGTTGGCCAAGTGACAAACTGGCAGAGGAAAGTCTCTGAGAGCTGAAAATGTACATTATCCCAAATGTCTCAGTGAAATAAAGTAGCCTGTGTTCTCAGGAGAAACCTGGCCCTTTGATTAATTTTCTTGTTCCTAGCCCTTCTTCCAGTGTAAGGAAAAGAACAGGGATGGAAAACGGTCGTTCTCGGCTACTTCTCATCTATGTATGCCTGTGTAGGACCTCCGTGTAGCTCTGCACTACAGAGCTGGCAGACAGGACCAAAACTATGGGAAGTAAAAATGTAAGAAATACTCAAGCTAAGAGCAAGACAGGGATTGCCTAACTCTAAAATTCCCTGATTCCTAATTTGGCTTGGAAGATCTTAATGCTGATGCATTTTGTTTTCGAAGGGTCAGATTGACAAAGCATCCAAAAACGTAGAACAAAGCTATGTAACCTACTCAGCTCTGAAGTGCTGGAAATTCCCACAAGAACAGGCTTGTTTATGGGGTTATGAATTTCCCCAGGAAAATATTTACTGTATTTAAATAGTTTTATTTCTTGGAAAATTAAATCCAACTCCAACTGAACCTTCAAGGATTTCAGAAACAAAGCCCATCTAAATTCAGTTCCTGTAATGTGCTTTCACAAACTGTTCTAATCCCATATTTTCATTTACAGATGGAAAGAATTTCATTCTTGATGGTGTAACTTATTCTAATAGAACATTATTTCTTCTACGCAATTTGCAAGAATTGCATAGGGTCAAGATATTTCCCTTTAATTACTACTCTGAGTAATAATTGTTACTTTATTCATGGGATTTTCTAAAATTCTGTTTCTATAATAATTACTAGTTATTAAATTCACCTTGCAAAGATGAGGTTGGTGTAAGAAACTGTGGTACAGCTAACTTGTTCTAGTACAAGTTTCATTTTGAAAAAAGAAGTGTCTAGAAAGAACTAAAACTCAAACATCTACAATTAGTCAAGATATTAACAGAAAATATATTTTGAGGGAAAATTGGGCACGTGATCAATGTAGTCTTAGAGCATCCACTGAGGAGAATTTCCATGTCAAGGCTCCTCTCCTAAGCAGGAAGAGGGTGGCACATTCCTGTGTCTGCTACTCACCCACAGATTCTGAGAGATGTGTCAAAAGCAGCATTTTCCAAACAGAGCTCACCAAGCAAAGCTCTGCATGGCCAGATTTCACTCCACCAAAAAATCTTGTCCCTGAGTTAAACAGGAACTTTTATGCTCAGAAGTGCCCCTGACACCTTCCACAGTGCAAAAAGGCAGGAAATCACATCAACCACACCCAGGAATTCTGTTGGCTTGGAAAAGTCCTAATAAAGCAAAGGAGACAAAGCTCTGTCAACCCTCTGTGGACCTCTTGCCAAGCCTGGTTAGCACTCACATAATGGAAACCTGCACAAAGGCCAATTTTTTTTTTTTGAGCTTAAGTGAATGATCACTTTGAGAAGATCCATTTTTAAATGGGTAGTACAACAAGGATACATTTAAATGGCTCATCAGAGAAACACAGTTAATGCCAGATTAAATATTTATGTGTGTATGTAGCTTTTGCAATGCTTATTCGTAATCACTCTTCTCTGCTGAAAGCGGGCTCACAATTCAGACAGCACGACTTTCTATAAGTAATGAACATTTGGAAACTGTGGGCTAGGGGGGAATACAGAGCTAAAATTATCTGCTAGGCTCTGTGATATCATCAATGAAAACAGTCTCTACCTGGGAAAAATCTTTGGTTTGAATCAGTGCTGACAGCAGAATCCTTCTGGTGCCAGTCTGGGCTATCCGCTAAATGTTGTTTTGCTCCCTTAAGCGTGTACGCTTTGTGTTAAGCGAGACTTCTTGATTTAGCAGGACACTGCCATAGATTGCTGGAACACTCTCCCACAGAAATTCACATCCTTGTCAAGTACCTATGGTTATGTAATGTGAAGGTGAGGTGCATTAGTGATATGCGCAATGGAAACAGAATGTATGTGGTTAAAGAAAATGTGCGATGATGATTTTCACTGAATGACCTGGCAGACAATTTCAATGTGGGTCATTTATTGCCCATTGCAGTATCTCCTTTGTTGTATGGCTTTGTTGTATGGCTGCTGTTGTATCACCGTCAGCAGGAGGTGGGAAAATCAACCAGAGATATTTTTAGTAATACCTACAACTTTGTCTTCTTAGTTAGAAGAATGAACAATAGCTAGACTGAAAAACCCTTTCTGAAGGGACTATTGTAGAAAAACAGCTTGCTAAAAACCTGTATTATTATCTCTCTTGCTTTCAAAGAAGACACAACTATGGTCTAACGATTTCTTCTAATCTATAGGCCATTCAGATTTCTGTTGCAAGAAAATAAGCTGTTTACCAAACACCAGTCTCCTTTAGCTGTTCTTATTTTCATTGCAACTCCCACTTTTACTGCTGGTTTAAGCACAAGATAAGAAATTGCTTGTAGCTGGTGTGTAGTTTCTCTCTTCCCTATAGGACTATATGATCAATGCATGTTTTGAACAAATCCTTCATGTTGGTACAGAGATAGTATTTCAAAGCTGCCCACAGAACATTAAAAAAGTATTAACTCTTTTTTCCCTCTCTATTTTGGAAATTCAATATATTCAGTATGTTACTCTATTACTACGTTACTGTATTTAACTGTTTTTTTCCCTCATCTTTTTATGTATCATATTGCAAATGTTGCTTGAGGTAATTCCTAACTTTCACCTCAGAGGTTTGACAAATTCTCATGGGAAAGTGGCTGTATTTTATTTTCCTGATAAGCACTGTAGGCAGGAGGGATAGGAACTTGTCCGTACGATTGAGGCAGTGAAGGAATGCTGAAATCTTTTAACTTGCCGTTGTTCATCAGTGGAAGTGGCTGGGGTCAGAGCTCTTCAGAGATACAGTGTGAAGTTCTGCTTTTCACTAAACCTGCTGAAAAGTGCACAGGCATTGCAGAGGGTTCAGAGAACAACAAAAGGCGATTTAATAGGATGAACTACAATAAAAGGCTCAGCCAGCAAAGCCTTTTCCCACCAGAGAGAAGAGAGCTGGGAAACACAATGCTCAGCCTTCCAGCTCCGCTGTGGAAGTGTGCTGGACGTTACAGAAAGCAGGCGAGC